AGCCAGCAAAGCTGGTTCAAAGCGGCCAAGGTAGGAGAGCACCACTTTAGGTTTTCCCAGGTTATCCTGGACTGACCGGTGAACAAACCCAAACTGGACGCTTTTGTCGCCCGCCCGGTTGCACGAAAGCCAGTACTTTGTTTTCCTGATCGTTCCCCTGACCTGCCGGACAATCCTAATTGAGCGGGACTTACTTCCTCCTGCCCGACTGAGACCGACAGAAGCGTTTCCCACGCCTGTTTTCCTCACGGGGCCGGCCAGTCTCTGCTTTGGTGCTTTCTGAACCCCGGGCCCTTTTCCGAATTTCATTGGAATCACACTCCACTCCTATTTCAAAAGAAAAGGGGGGAATCTTTCAGAGTAAAAAGAAGAAAAAAACCAGCCCCGCCCCCCCCCCACCTGGCAGAGTTCGAAAAGAAGCCCACAAACCGCCCCTTGAATTCCCCGGGCCCCCCCCCCCCCCCCTCGCCCCCCCCTCCCCCCCAGCCCTTTCCTCCGAGTAACCCTGATCTCCTTCTTGCCTCTCCGCCTAGAACGACAACCTTGCGGCGGGGGCGAGTGGGCCCGTGAAGATCACAGAGAACCGGTCGAAGAAGAGCAGCTTCTTCCGGTGCTCGCTGCTTTGATGGACTCCTCGCGAGAGACTGCAGCATACCTAGAACAAAACAACAACAAAAAAATACACCTTTCCTGCTTCTCTGAGAGCCCAGGCTCCCCCCGCCCGGCTGCTGCTGAGGGCTCCATTTGGACCTGGAACGATGGGCGGAACCGAGAGGGTGGACGGGACTCTCCCTCCCTCTCCCTCTCTCTGTCTCTCTCTCTCTGTTGGCTCCATCGTCCGCCTCCCCCCTCCGAGACATGGAAGCGGTGAAGTTGAGAGACTCCCCCCTGCCGGAGCTCCGTTTTCATTCCTTCCTTCCATTCCTTCCTTCCTCCCTCCCTCCCTTCCTTCCTTCCTTCCTTCCTTCCTTCCTTCCTTCTTTCCTTCTTTCTTTCTTTCTTTCTTTCTTTCTTTCTTTCTTTCTTTCTTTCACTGCCTGGTTCAGAAAGTGCCGAGTATTTTCTTTGCCCGTCTCTCTTAGTCCTCGGTTGAAAGTTACGGCCGGGTCATCGAGGCAAGTGGAGGGGAGCCGCTTGGTGGGCCGGCTTGGTCTTCCTTTTCAGGGACTGCCAACCTCTTTCTTTACCCTGCCCTCCCCAGGGGCAGCTGGGGCCTCTCAGGCTGGGCTGGGGGGCTCCGTGGCTCTGGGAGACAGCAGCCCATCTGCAGTCCATCAGGGAGGCCGGCTGGAAGACCCCGGGGCTCCGTGGCCTTGGAAAGGGGAACTGCCGCGGGTGCATGTAGGGTGGGCACAGGTTCTGAACCCCCCACCCCCACCCCCCCGGGGATGCCACCATCATGTGGAGGTGGAAAACCCAAAGCGCTTAGGGGCTCCGGTGGGGTTCGGATGGTTTCACAAACGCACAAACCTGCGTAGGTCCAGGTGGGTTTGCTTTTCTGGCCCCTGGATGCCCCCCTCGCCCCTCACAGCATCTCCCCTGCCCCTCAGTCTGGCTCTGCTGGGGCTCGGGGTCTGTTCCTTGGGGCATCCGGCTGAGCCCGGTGTCCCTGCTTGCATTAATGGCGGGCAGCGGCTCTCTGAACGCCGAGAGAAGACACACCCCCCCCCCAAAGGGAGCGCGGTCCCCGGGGGGGCCTTTCCCTCCCCCCCCCCCCCCGACCCCCGTCTTGGACTCGCTGAAGCCGAGCTGCCTTTGCCTTTCCGGGCTTGGGGTGCGATGCCACAACCGGGCTCCTCTGAACGGGCGCTTTGCTTTCGTTGACGTGCCAAACCAACCGTCTGCGCGGGGCGACTCCTGGCTCCACCGCCTCACCTGGAAGCCCTGCCTTCCCGCCAGCCCACTCAGTTCACCTGGCAGGGTTTCATCCCTGAGCACTGATGGCCGTCTTGCTTGGGGGGGCGGGGGAGCACCTGGAGCAGGTGAGCCACCCTGGCGGGCCTTGCTCTCTGCGCCTGGGCAGAGTCTGCCTCGCCTCCACTTCCACCCCAGGGGTGCAAAGTGCTTTCTTTGAGACAGGGGCGTGCCCCCCCCCCACATCCCTCCTGATTGTAGGCATCGCTGTGAAACCCAGGCACTCGTGCCTGTTGTGCCCCCCCTTCCCTCAGCTTTCCTCTTGGTCTCCTTTCCTTCCATATCTCGGGTTCTGCCAACCAACCTTCGTCTCTGAGGAGGTTCCCTCTGGAGAGCCGGCAACTAGTCGAAATGTTATAAAGTGCTTTTTGAAGCAGCAGCATATTGGGGTATTTACTCTGTTTTATTAAAAAAAAAAAAATGCTATTTTCTTACTTCTAGCTGTGCTACAGTGTACATAATTTGAGTAAGGCCATAGGAAATCCACTTTAAGCTTGGTGTTGTAAAGTTAACACACAATTAACTTACCTTTATAACGTTAAAAATTTAGTTTTTGTTCCTGTCCCTTGTTTTAACGACAGAATTCCCTGCTGGGTTTTTTTGTAAGAGGCCGCCGTTGCCTGAGTGCAGCCGCCTTCGTCTCCTGGGGAAAGAGGATCGCCTGGGCAGCCACCGGGAGACCCCCAGGGCGCCTGCTGGTCCTCCTTCAGGGTAGGGGAGGCCTCTTGTCCTCCTCCAGCCTGGCCGCTCCAGAGGGGCCGGCCTGCAGGGGCAAAGCACATCGGAGGAGGGGCGGCCAGTTGGCAAAAGGGCCGCGGGATGGAGCGACCGGTGGCCAAGGCTCTGCCAGGCGGTCAGCCAGGGCGTTGGGGCCGGCCTCCCCTCCTTTGCTTGGGCAGAGCAGGCCGCTTGCAAAGGAAGCCAGGCCTCCATAGTTCTGAGCGCTGGAGCCCCCCTCTCCCCCCCCCCGTGACTCCCTGCCCGCTGGACTGGGCTCTGGACTTCTGGACCTTCTCTGGGTGGCGGGGGAGGCCCTTGGAGGGCTCTTGCTCCCATAGAGGCCTTTCCCTTCCCCTGGTCCTGGAGCCTCTCCTTTCATCGCCCCCTCCCCCATTTTAGGGGTGTTTCAAGTATTACCTGCCCGGTTCCACCTCCAGGCTCCTGTGCTGCATGTGAGATCAGAAGAAGAAACCTCTGTATAGTACTTGTATAATACTTGCCGGCTTTTTTTAAAATAAACGGGGTATGTACATGTACCAAGTGCTTTCACCACGTCTTATTTCCAGATGGGAACGAATAAAATCCATTACGACGGGTGGCCACTTTGGTATGTTGCACTGGATGTGCCTGTCACTGCTCTGCTTGGAGCGCAGGGCTTTTAAGTGCAATTAAGACAGACAAAGGATTTGGTCATTAGAGAAATGATGAAACAGGAAATATCGTAAGGTCAATTATACTGAAATAGAGCTTTGCGTTGGTATTGCCGTATTCTAACATTAGGGTTCGTTTGTTTTGTCAAAATAAATTATATTCTAGAATAATTCACAATTTAGAAGGAAAGTTACGTAGCTTTTGAACAATGCAAGTGCCTGTGTCCCTGTGGCCTTTCGGATGATTTTATGTGCGAGTGAAATTGAATGCTGTATTCTGAATTTGCATGACCCCCAAACCTAGAATTTACCTAGAGTTATTCCACCATGCGAAGCATATTGTGTCCCAAGGCCCAACTCCTGTATTTCCTGAAATCTCCCTCATTTCCTTCCCTCTGTAGCAGGAAGAGGGCAAGAAAGGCTGGGATGAGAATCCCCCAGTGAACGTCCATGGATGAGGGGGGTCCGCTTTCTTGACCCTCACCACAATAGGCTCTTTGAACCCAAAGCCCAGAACGCCTGGACAGCACCACGTGGCCCCTGGTACTCTGCCGCAGCTTTGCCTTGTGTGGGGCCTCCTGCGGGTCTTGGGCCTTCGTGGGGGGCTGAGGGATTCGGGGAGTAGCCGCCCCAAGAGGTGCACAAGGCTACAGACCGACTGGCCTCTGGTGCCCACCAGGGGGCAGCAGAGCTCTGGTCCAGGCCATTCAGCTGACTTGGGACTAGTTTACAATCCAGGCACTGGCGGTGAGGTTCCCTCTCTTTAAATCATAGTGTGGTTAGTTTGTGGCTCAGGATGATGATGGGGCCTTACTGTTGTGGCTTGTAAGCCATGGAGGAGCTCAACACCCTGCTAGCCGTGGTCCTTGGGTCTTCGTGGCAGGCACTGGCAGGTAGGTGGAACAAACTGCCTTGCCGTCGTGTGAGTCGATGATGTGGATCACACATACTGATTGCTATTTCTGCACAAAATCAGCTTTGCTTTTGTTTCGCTTGGCTTTGGAAAAGGATGAATCTCCTTCCTTCTTAGTGGCTGCACACCATCCACCCCTTGGCTCCTCTTTCCTCCTCCCTTTTCTTTCAACTTCGTGGACCTGGGTTTTCTGCCTGCTCCCACTGTGGATAATGGTTGGCTTCCAGAAGACTTCCTAACCATCATTAATAGGATTGTACTCTATGTTAGATCCTTGTGAAAACGCAAGCGTACATTTTGAATCTTGGCTGGGAGAAAAGGACTGTGAAGCCTGTATTCTGGATCCACATTTTTGAAGGCGTGTGGATCTCAGGCTGGGCCGGGATGGCCTCCCCAGAGGCGGCTGGGGAGTCGAAGTCCAACCTCTTAAAGTTGTCAAGGTGGAGAGAGACATGTGTGTCCTGATTTCCTGCAGATCCCTGGGGTTTGGGTAATTCTGGGGAGTGCTGGAAGGTGTTTATTCTGGGGGTGGCTGCAGCCAAGGGTGTAACTGTGTTGGAGAACTTTATGTCTCTTTTCTCACTAAGATGTGGTTTGAAACCCTTTAGGTGACTATTTTGGTACCTTTAGCTAACAATTTTGACATTAAAGTCTCTGTTGTGGTTTACGAGAGTTGGAAAACTTGATGGATAGTTCAGAAAATGCAAAGCGTAAACACAGTCTGGCCTTCAACCAAGAATAGAATTTCACTTGGTGTTTCTCAGTACATTTGTCTGTGTGTGAGAGAGATACAAACTCAAAGCTCTTAACCAAAATATTTATTGTATGATGCTACATAAAATTACACATTATCTATAGGAGACTTTCATCATAATAGATTCTTCAAACCTGCAGCTTCCTTATAAGTCACTGTAGGAAGGAAACTATGGATGGAGCTCTCCAATTACATCAACCCCCCCCCCCCTGATTTCAGGGTAGACAGGACCAGAATATTTCATCTGACCTTCAGTTGGAGTAGCTGCCTTCATCCTGAGGTGCGTGGTCTTCACTTCCAGAGACCCAAGCACAGCACATAGCTCAAATTCTACATCATGGGATAAGCCCCCGTGTATTTCTTAGAAGCCATGTTTAATATAGCTTATTTTAGACTTAAATAGAAGAGATGAAAAAGACACATGTTTCCTGTTAAAATCAGCAGGACTTCAAAAAGGACTGAATTAGGCCTCTAAGACAGGGAGGGCTCACCAAACGTGGCCACTTTAAGACTTGAGGACTTCAACTCCCAGAATTCCTCAGCCAGCCAAACTTAGGAATGTTGAAGCCTACAAGTCTTAAAATTTGCCAAGTTTGGAGACCTGTGCCCTTAAGACGTTACCAGGAACACTTAAATATCCTGGTGATCTTTTCCTAATATCAGCAGTAATTATTTTATGGGAGCTGGAAGGAAATTCATCTATTCAGTAGATACACAGCAGCCTTTCTGAGGCAGAATATTATGATTATTCATAACTACCATACTTAGATGCTATAATCTTAAGCAAAGCCCTGAACCTCTCCTAGAAATTATCTGATTCTTTGGAGGGAGGTTTTTTTCACACCTTGTCTCCGCCCATTAAAATCCTGTACACAAAGCCCCACTTGGCCGACAGCCCAGAGAGAGCAACGCTTGGCTCATCCAGCTGTTAAGGGTATGTGAAGCTTGAGCACTGCGGAGGTTTAAGCCTTGGAGATGTTCTTCTCCTCCTCCTCCTCCTCTTCCTCCTTGGTGACCGCGGGCTTATAGATTACCCCTTTCTCTTCCTTGGCCCTTTGGAGGCTGGGAAAGAGAAGCGTGGAGTTAGCTAAGGTTGAAAGAGGAGTTATGTTAGTGCCCCAGAAAGAATTATGTTTTCCTGGATATTTCAAGGCCCAGGAGGATCAGGTCTGCTCAGGGGGCAGAAAAGTGTTACAGAAGGGAGCCAGGACAGGAGGCAGAAGACTTACCTCTGCCTTCGAGTCAGCCAGAAGGCTGCCATGGTGACAAAGACGATGCCCAGGACACTGGCTAATACCACAAAGAGGACAAAACCTGCGGTGGGGTCAAGGGGTTGGAGGAAAAAAAAATACTATTAGGCCTTGCCAATAGGAGAACCTTCCTCCTGGGAGCAGGTGCTGTAATTAGCTCTTGGAGTAAAACCCTGATGAGATTAGTAGCTTTCGTAGAACATTTTCCCACGTATCCCTTTTATTAGGTGAAATCAAATGAAATGGCCAGGGAGAATTTGAAATAAGAGCCAGGCTCCAAGGCCAATGAAATTATGCAAACTGGACGATTTGCTCAGCTCTCTCATTGCAAGAAGGACGTGTGTGTGTGTGTGTGTGTGTTTAGAACATGGGAATGAGGGTCAATCGTATCGAAGAAGAAACCTTTGTAGTTTGTGAAGGTCTAGGACCAAAGAGATGCTGCTTAGACGTTTCCGATAGATCCATTCTGAACTAGTCAGGTTAATATAACTTGCAGGGCAGGAGGTTATCGTGGAGAGGAGACAGGCAGGAGAAGATGAAGAGGTCAGTTGATTCCAGTGGTTATCAGATGGAAGAGATGGAAACCCCACTGAAGAACTGAGGAGGGCACTTGACGCCAAGCACTCTTGAGACAAACATACCTGGGCTGCTGCGTTCAACCGGAGCTGGATCTTGAGAAAAGGGAGAAGCAAAATATGAATGCAAAATCACTGAAGTGAATGTGGACAAAGACAATTCTAAGGAGGGCGACAATCCTGGCCTCTGAATGGCAGGAAGGAGACGTTTTACTCGGTGCCAGTCCTGGGTGGCAGGCGGGGGGGGGCAGCTGTTGACCAACTGACAAAACTAGAAGGGGAGGTCTTCTTCTTGGCCGGCCAGCCAAGTTTCTCTCGTTTTCCTAGAAGAGTGCTGGCTGGGGAACTCTGGGACTTGAAGTCCACACATCTTCAAGCTCCCAGGTTTTAGGAAGACATCACTTCCAGGGTCGTCTGTCCCAGTGGTTGGTGGGGCTTCCCAGCCAGGACCAGCCCAAGACCCTCAGCCACCCCAAAGCAGCCACTGATCTGAACGACCAAGACTCCTGGGCAAGTCCTGCCTGGGGAGCCCCGCCAGCCACAGGGACAGGTGACCCTGGAAGTGATGTCTTCGCAGGTACTCCGTGTTCCTAAAACCAGCCTACGAGACCTCATTGCAACAATCCTGCTGCCCTGCCTGGTTTGCTGTAGCCCCCACTGGAAAGGAAAGCCACAGCTTAGTCGACTGCGGAGCATAACCGTATCCCCAAATTTCAGCCACTTACCACTTCCCCTTCACTTCTGGGGCACAAAACTATTGGACCTGTTTGGATCTTTTCCCCATTTCTCCATTTTTTCCAGTCCTGCTTATAGCCCCAGCGCTCGTTCTATAGGCTTTAATTTGAAGTGCCACCCTTGGCTGAGCTCACCTCATCTGTTTCCAGTTCTTTTTTCTTCGGTTTGTCAAGCCAGTTCTTTTGGATTAAATAACTTACGAGGTCTCCACAGTCAGTCCTTAAGAACTGCCTTAAGGCAAATGCAGGACGGAGGGACCCTGGGAATCTGCTCGCGAAGGAGTGTTGGGGTGAAGCGTCTTCAGGGTGCTGCTCTTGCCCAGTGCTTTTAAAGCAAAGGAGAGGCTTGCCAAGGCAAACAGAAACCAGTTGGAGGCACAAAGATCTGGGCACGCTGTGGGTGTTGTCCTGGCACCCAAAACCTCCCCAGGATCTCGGAGTTCCAGTGCTGGTTCTCGCCTCCTGCCTGTCCTTGGAAAAGGATAGACCAGAATCCAGAAGGTTCTTGGGGTAGGACATCGCTGCTGAATCATGCTGGACACGATGCCAGAAAGTCACCCCAAGTCAAGTTTAGCAGCACGGGAGGGAAGTGGCTTCGGTTGGATTCCAGTTTGGGCCAAAAAGTCAGTTTACTTGGGATGCAGGTGAGCAAATAGACAGACCCTCCTGCTGGCTGCTCTGTGACTACAGATAAAGCCCCGATAGACCTGGCTGATCAGCCGTGAAATGCCAGTTGAGAAGGGGACGCCCTTCCTTATGCCAGTCCCTTGAATGGCTGGTTGGGGAAGGGATCCTATCCGGCAATGGCTTAATGGTCTGCCTGCCCTGCTTGGTACTCCCGGAAGCTCACCTGCCTGTCCTTTCCCCCGAAATGTTTGAGTCCGGCCCCTCTGGTTTTCCCTGGAGATCCATGGTTGATTTGGACTTGGGTGAGAGCTGCTGCCCTGGGTTCAGGTTCGCCTCCCCAATAAACTGCATAACTCTGGGACTTTACAATATGACAAACAGCCGTTCCCCTTCCCTCCCTTTCCCTCCCTCTCCCTCTCTCTGCCTTGCATGTGTGCTGGGTGTGTTTGTGCAGCGTCTTAAGCGGGGCAATCTCAGGAAGAATCGAAAAAGTTGCTGATCCAAGACGCCGCCTCGCCTTTCTTCTCCCACGCAGGAGAGCCCTTACAAGATCACCTCGCCTCCTCCCAGGTTTGCCTCTGCAACATTTTCTACAGGTTGTGCAGCAGCTGCCTAATTCCACTTACACAGTGTGCCAGGTGTGTATAACACAACTAGGATAGGCAACAGTGCTCAGCGCAGGAAGGTTTTCATCACAGCCTTTGATGCTTAAAGGAAATACTCTGTACAAGGCTAAGCTTAGAGCAGAATTTATTGCAATTTGCGAGTGTTGCAAAAATAGAAAAGAATACAATAATCCTGGCGTCTGCCCCTCGGCTGTTCTTTCCCAAACCAGTCGTTGCTTGTGTAAACATCGCTATATTTCTATATACAGATATATATATATATTCAAACTTGTTTCAAGAAAAAAAATTAGCCATCTTTGTTCCTCTTTTGTTTTGTAAATTACAACTTCTTACGTGCAACCCTAAGATTTCCGCTTTGCTTTGCCAACAAGCCTCTCCTGGGAGGGACTGTAATGCATGCCTGTGATACACAGGTTGGCTCAATGTATGTGGAAGGCCTAGAAAATCCGTCTTCCTCAGCCTCGGGCATTTGAAGATGGGTGGATTTCAACTGCCACAATTCTCTAGGCCTCGGAAATTCTGGGAGCTAAAGTCTCGCCCATCTTCATGTAGCCAAGGTTGAGAAAGACAGATCTTGGTGCACCCTTAAAAAGAAGGAACTCCAAAATCAGTCCCATCCCTCTGACCCACTTGGGGATGACTGAAGTGGGGGCTATTTATATAGTCTTCCTGCCCCCCTCAAAAAAAACCTCCATCACTGCTTGTTCATAGCTTTGCACAGGTCTGGCTAACACAACCTTCCTATGTTTCCCTGTTTCTTCCAAGGTTGGCCTGTTGTTGTTGTTAACAACGGCTACTGTGGTGACCCACAGTCCTACAACCCAACTGAGAGGCTTGAGGCAGTGGTTGGAGCTTCCATTCCCCCATTAGATGGCTAATTTTTGCACCCATGACGGTGGATTTGGGCAACCCAGCGTGATGAGCCTTTCCTGCTTTTTACGTGTCAAACTCAACCTCTTGCAGAGCTTCGTCTGATCCTTTGAACCTCCCCAGAAAGAGTCTCCCTGCAAGGCAAAGTTGGGGTTTCTTTTGAGATGCACAAGAGATCGTCCCGGTGGTGCTGCTGCTGCTATGGACTAAGCGCCCTGGGAGACCCCGGGGAGGCGGGCAGGTTACAAGTCTAGGAAGAAACTCTGCACTAGATCCAGCAACTTAGGAGGGAAGAGTCCGTTGCACTTAAGATCTACTCCAGTGTTTCTCAACTAGGTCAACTTTAAGACGTGTGGGCTTCACACGTCTTAAAGTTGACACGGTTGAGAAATCCTAGTCTGATCCATGCAGAGAGCTGAGCGGCATCCCTTTAACTATCAAGGAAGATGTGAGTTTTGTTCCTCGGGTAGCTCTTTGCCCTTAAGTGCTCCGCCCAATTTACAACAACTTCGGTACCCCTACTGAATTTTGCTCAGACTCTTAAATCCTCCAAGGCCGGGGTCAATATTTTAGTTCCCTCTGAAATAACCTCTTGTTATAAAATGTTTACAGGTCCCTCCACCCGCTTCCTCACAACTCCTGCGTTATAACAGAATCTTGGACTGGGACTGTTTTCAGAAGCCGCACTGAGAGGGAAAAAGAAACGTTTTCCCTTACGTTTAAATGAAACCTACCCAGCCTACGTGGGACGCACCTCCCTCCACGCCAGAATTTTATTCCTGGTTTTATCACATTGGCTAAAGGACCCCTGGTGATGACCAAGGTCTCTGGGGCAGCCTGGGGGTCAGCCTTCCCCCTTTAATTCTAAGGTTGCTCTAACCGCTGTGTTCGTTTCCAGGTTCATCCCTTGTGATTCTATGCAGATGTTATTGTTTTGAAACTGAAGTTGGAGTCCGTATTTTTAGAGTAAGTTGACGGTATAATTACCAGCCCTTGCAGGCACAACAGGGTGGACTGTGCCTCAGAGCCTCCCACATGGCTGCCTGGGGAGTGCCCACCTTGCCCACTTGGCCTGTAAACTAATCAGGGTCTGTGGAGACTCTCGTCCCCTGCGTTACAGTTGTCCCCAAAGGCAACTGGACTTTCACAGGGTTTTTCCCCCCTTTGAAAACGTTTCGCTTCTCATCCAAGAAGCTCCTATGGTTCTCACGGTAGAACTGTTTGAACCGACGAAGCTTCTTGGATGAAAAGCAAAACGTTTTCGAAGAAAAAAACCCAACTTCCCCTCTAGTTCAAGTCAGCCTCAGCCGCCCTCATCATCGTGATAAACCACCTTGGAAGGGGGCCTTTCCTCCGGCCTACCTTGTTGGAAGGAGACGGAAACCATCCTCTCGTCAAATTCCTGAACTCTCCGGAAGTTGTCCACCATTTCCAGAGGGGCGGGGTCGCTGGACTCTGTGCAGTAGAGGGTGGTTTCGAGCGCCAGCAGCTGTGGGCAAAGATTCTCCAGTGAGCAATCGCATCTGCGGGAGGAGAGGAGCAGCTACTCTCGGGCAAGAGTCTTTTCCCCAGGGGAAGGTTGCCAGGGCCTACAGGCTGAGGAGCTCGGACTGCTGATTGTGGCGAAAACAACAACCGCATAAAAAGGGCATTTTTCGTAATTCTGCCAAAAGTATGGAGCTAAGAAGACTCTGAATTAATTGGGTTCTTATGAAGGGAATGGGCTGTGGAAAGTAGAAAGGGAGCTGCAATTATACAAGTGGACGATATATCCCTTCCTTCGTTCTGTGGCTGGCAGTTAAATGAACTCGGATAGTTTTACTTTTGAGAAACGAAATCCCGAAAGGAGGAAACGTCTGTAACAGGACCAGTCTTTATCAGGCCCCTAGGAAGCCTGGAAAGCACCGGAGGGAATTATGCTTTTCCTGGGGTTACCCGCAAAATCACTTCTGTTCCCTGAATGTAACTTGCGCTTTATGGAACTTGCCTGCTGCGCTGAAACTTCTACGGGTTTTCGGAAAACTGTCCAGAGGACACTTGGATAGCATGGAGGAGTGGTCAGAGACCCTTCATAGCGGTAGTAGTCATCCAGTCTATCTGGGAGCAAATCTCGGACGTTGAAACCTGGAACAATTGTTTCTTGATCTGAAAGAAAGCAGCGGCTGCATCAGCTGGATTGAAGCCGTTTCCACCTGTCAGTTTTGATTCTGGATGGAACGTTCCCTAAATAGTTAGCCGTTTTCTTTAAGCATTCAGATAATTCAAGTCAGCCAACTTAGTTAAGGCTTTCTGCAGCCAGCCCCGGTGATGTGTGTGTGTGTGTTTGCACCCAGCCAAAGAATCCAGATGTTTTGCTGTAAAGATAGACCAAAGTTGGGCCAGCCAGCCCATGTGGCCACCTGCTGAAAATCCATTCCATGCGTTTGAACACGCGGCTGAGGTGGTGCTTTTGTCATCTGGACAAACACCAGAGTTCAGAGTTTGTTTACTGTCATTTAGGCAAAGAAAATTGGGAAGGTGAGTCAAGCAGAGAGAGAGAGAGAGGGGAGAGAGAGCGGATCAAACAGTGGCAGAAAATATCCAGTCTTGACTGCAGCTGGCTTGTAAACAGTTTAGTCTGTTCTGCCTCGTTCTTGTATTTTGTAAGTCGGATTGGTGTGTGTGCACACGTATACATATACACACACACACACACATACTGCAACTGTCCACACTGCCAGTTAACCTGACACCAAAAGCGAGGGATTAATTGCCCTTACAGGGACTGAGTATCTTCTGCTGGCTGTTCAGGGCCTCCTTCTCTCCTACCTTTGTACTTCACATGTTGGAAATGGCTGAAGATCTTCTCAAAGGATGGGTTGAAATCTCCCTCCTGTAAGGAAAGCAACAGCGGTCATTTCCTATTGGAAGAACCTTGCGGTCAAGCACAGGCCTGGCCACCGGTGGGCCTCGGAGCAGGAGAGGCGCATCCACACCGCAGGGCACAATCCTGCAGGAAAAGCCGCTTGGCCGTCCACATAACGGAGAGCGGTGCAAGTTCAGGGGCTCAGCAACCTATTGCGAAGTGACCCAGGGGAGGCATTTGGGTTGGGAAGCCGAACCCTTTGCAGCCCTTGGATTTACGCCCTCGTTTGTTGGGCAAATGAACTTGGCCGATTTTGTGGGCAGCAGTGATTTCATTTCAGGGCAAATAGGCCCTCCTGACTTCACATCTGCTTTCCGAGAGTCCTCAGCTGCTCTTGCTAGAATAATAATCCCTTGCACAGCGTGACTTCTTTGCCTCCACTCAAAAATTCTTGCAAAATAATCACTCTAGAAAAATAAGCTGAATGTTCTCAGCAACTGAAAGGGGCTGCAGGAGGGGTGGGGCTTGACATCCCTACCCCAAAGTAAAACCCTCTGGAAGCTCAGCTGGTGGCTTCACGGCCGGACAAGGGTCCTTCAGCAGGACAGGAAGGACGGGCCACTTTCACCCATGGGAAGGAGGATGCGCTTTGGACTATGGAGAGGTCCTGGCAGGAAGAGACCAGCTGAGACCGCCAGGGAAGGTGCAAGCCTTACCTCCATCAGGACTGCCAAGACTGCCAGCCCGTTGGGCTTGTCGATGGCCGATTTCAGATCTAGATATTGGTCAGCGTTGTAATGGACAATGTGCAGCTGCAGAGGGAGAAGGAAACGGTAACTGCGATTTCTAAGGCTTAACAGCTGGGAGAACCGGGGCTTGTGTAGCCAGGCCTCCGAATTCCCTCCCTTGAACCCTGAACTGAGGTCTTTTGTCTTTGTTGATGACCTTAAATTGTGACTTTGGGGCATCCCAGGCCTTTCCTAGACTTATAATTAGTCTGAGACATGAAACAATGTTGTGGCTATGAATTGGAGGAATTGAGGATAATGACAATTGAGGCTGGATCCGCCCATTGTGTCATAGGGGTCCTATGGAGGCCGTTCTCTGGGACTCCCATGGAAACTGGGATGATGCAACCAGAGACACAAAACTGATGAGCTGATAAAGATGATTTCCCAGGCTAGAGAACATGAGCCTGTCGTCTCGCTGCTGTTCGCCTGGTAATTTTATCCCACGCAGCAATTCGTAAGTGAACAGAGGAGGGGGAAAAAGGCTGTTCTTGGATTTGCTTATATGATTATTAGCTGTGGAGTTTGTTGGAGGAAGGAACACACTGGGGGAAAGAGCGACAGCTGGTGCAGGTTCTTGGAGGTTAGGGGAAGCCCCCAGAATGTTGTGTTGGTCAAAGGATGTTCAGGATGGCATGCAGAGAAGAGGAGGAAGAGAAGGATAAGAGAGCACCCGCGGGGCAGCGTTTCTCAACTTGGAAGATGGGTGGGCTTCAACTCCCAGAATTCCCCAGCCAGCAGACTTCTAGAGAGTTGAACTCCACCCATCTTCAGGTTGGCCAGGCTGTGTGGGTTGCCTCTCCTGTATCCACTGACTTTTGACATCCGAGGAAAGAAACGGGGGTCAAACAAACCCCAAGACCTCTGGAGGGTGCTAGGAGGAAGACAGCTGTTATCTCAATCCCACAAGCCACAGCAGCTGTTCTGTTGAAGACGGAAACGGGGAAAAGATCTCGTGCAAGGGCATGCTGGATCCCACAGAAAGGAAAACCACCTGGATCCCACAGAAAGGAAAACCCATGCCCGGTTTCCTAGCATGGCCTTAAGGGCAGGGAGAGGCATCAGGCCAAAGGGCTGGGTTGTCTTACTTCAGCAGCAAAATGCCTCCCGCTGATCGTGTGCTCGGATCCTTCCTGCTTGTTCCGGTTTCCCCAGTGTAAGTGGAGTTGCGCTGCCGAGTACCGGAAGGAGAAATTCCGGATGCGCATGGCCGAAGAGAGATTCATTTTTACTGCAGAAGAAGAGAGGAGAGAGGAGATGGAGCGGAAGCCGGGCAGCGTTAGGTGCCCGGGGGGGGGGCGGGGGTGTCTCAACTTTGGAAAATGCCAAGGGCGGTCTTTCTTTAAGGCGCAAAGGTTGAAAACCAGGCTGCCCCAGCTTTGTGCCTCCAGATGTGTGGACATCAACGCTGTGGTCTCTAGCTAGCATGGCCGGTGAAGAACATCTGGAGGCCAAGGATGGGACTGGCTTAGTCATGCTCCTGGCCGATTAGAAGATTCCCTCAGAATCTCCCTCCTCCCTCCTTGTTAGCTGCTGTTACCTGAATGCCCGTTATTGGTCAAGAGGAACTTGACATCAGAAGAGACGTTGTAGCCTTCCAGTTCTACTGGCCGGAGGGTGGAGTCGAACTGGAGGATGTCATTGTGGAAGTCAATGGGAGACTGGAAGACTCCTCCACAAAAGGGGTACTTCTTTGGCCACCCCTTTTCTCCGTCAGGACCTAGGACAGCAAGACCTCCAGAGGGTCAAGTCAAGGTATCCTTGCATGCCTGCTCCTTCCATGCCCCCCTCCCCCACTCAGCCCCCAGCCCCCCACCCCTTGCCACAATGGGCCAGCAGGCACCAGGGCTTCAAGCAGACAATGAAGGCTCTGCAACTGGCAGCTGCCACAAAGACCCCCCTGGTCTGAGTACCTCGGTGGCCTTAGCCGGGCTCAGTTCTGAAGGCCCCCCCCCTCCCATTTGATCCCACAATGGGCAGCTTATATGGGAGAATGGGAGGTTGGGCAGATTGTGGCACCAAGTAGATTCGGCTGTGAAGTCGCTTGCAGCTCCCTGGATCTCATGCGACTTGGAGCCACCCAAATACGATTTAATCCAATGAATGAAAGTGGGGACTTACCAAAGTAGGACCACTTCGATCCTGGAAGGGAAATGAAAGGGACGTGAGCTTCACGTGAGAGCGGCATTAAACCTGCCCCTATTCTGCTGAACCAGAAGGGCAATAAAAGCAGAGGGGAATATTTGCAGTAGAACAATTGTGCCTGGAGGGTCTTTTTTTTTTTTTGGAAACACCGTTTAGTGAATCAACCTGATTTGAGGAATTAGATGGGCGCCACCCTTTCAAAAGCTGCTCCCAGGCAGCGCCTGCAACTTAAGCAGGGAGCAAGCAAGGCCTGTGATGCGCGGCTCCCTCCGTGCAGCCGCCTCGTCTCTGGCAATGCCCCTTGGAGGACCCGGGAGGAGGAGAAGCCGCCCGTTGCTTGCGGCTCAACACAGACCCAAATATCAGGTTACTCCCATTCACTGAACTGAACATTTCCTGGAGCGTCTCCCTCCCCTGCCCTTTGCCTGCTGAGCCCACCTGCTCCCCCCCCCGCCCCCCCAGCTCTCCCCTTCACCAGTCTCTGTTTGGCCCCGGGGCTCAGGCTCCCAGTTTGCCTTTGCCCGAGAGCGGAAGGCGGCTCTTCTCCAGGCGTTGCCGCTTCTTCCGTCCTCCCCTCGGGGTTCTGCTCAGAAACCTGGCAGGAATCTCCCGCGTGGCTCCGCGCCTGCCGTGCACGAGGAGGGTCGAAGCCGCCTCTTCCCAGAAAGGTCCGGGAGGAGACCCTGCAGGCGACCCCTCTCCCCTTCTACCCCTCCCCCCTGCTAAAAGACGGAGCGGGGAGGACCCTCCCCGGAGCTCTTCCTTCCGGGCCAACGGCTGCGGGGCTTGGGGGTCTCTGGGACTCTGCTCAAAGGACGCCCCGACGCCTCGGCCGGCTCCTCTCGCGCTCTTCACCAAACTCGGTTCAGGGACGAAGCAGCCCTGACCGAGTTTCCTCCTTCAGGATTAGAAGAACTTTCTTGTCACTGTACAAGTGCAACGAGACGGTGGGTGCACCCCAGCGACTGTTCGCAAGACAATCAAACCAAAGCACGTGAAAATGAGGCTAAGGAAAATAGAGAGCCCACCTCTCCATTTGCAATTGGAGGGTCCAATTGGAGGCGGGTAGCCGACTCCCCTGGAGAGGGAGGTCCTGCCCCAGGGCGGGCGGGGAGGGTCTCAACCCCCGCCGCGGCCCCTCGAGACCCCCGCCGCCCCGCCAGGGAGTTGCCTTGTCTTTCTCCGGCTTCTGGCTGGAAGCCTCGACGTCGCCCGCCCCGGAGAGGATCCCTTAGAAGAGGGCTCCCCAACCTTGGCCACTTCGGCTCCCGTTGCTGGCTGGGGGATTCTGGGAGTTGAAGTCCGCCAGGCTTACAGTGGCCAAGGTTGGAGAGCCCTGCCTTAGAAGGTTCCTGAAACCATCATCCGAAGCCGCCGGCACTAAACAACGCGCTGCGATCTTCTCCCGGCAAGCGGCGTCCGGTCTGAGCGGTTTCTCTTGCCCGGAGCGGCGGGCGGGGCGGGGGGCTCAGAGCTGAAGCCCCCCCCGAGCACCTGAAGCCCCCCCCCCGAGCACCTGCAGCGCCATTGCCGGGGGGGGGGAGACGGCGTGAGCGGCGGGGATGGGGGGGGGGGCTGCCCCGGCTGGCGCGAGGAAGGCGCCAGGGCTGGTGGGGGTCGCTCCCAGCCCCGGGAAGACCCTCCCCGCCAGGGCAGGCATTACCGTTCAGCGGCGCCGGCCTGCAGAGGTGAGCGTGGAGCAGGAGGGCGAGCAGGGCGGCGGGCAGGGCGGCGGGCAGGGCGGGCATCTCGGGCGTCGCGCGGCTCCTGTCCTGCCTCCTCGGTTGGCACCTGTGTGCTGCCCGAGCGGCGAGCTTCGCTCTGCCTGCCCGGCGCCTCCGCCCTCGGGCCCGAGCCGTGATGTCAGCCGACGACCGGCCCCCGGGATGGCCCCGGGAGCCGCCCCTCTGTCGCCCCCCCCTCTCCCCCCGTGCAGGGGCCGGACTCCCGAGCCCATCGCCCGCACCCTTCACTTCCTTGTCTTTCGGGTTTTCCCCGACGGATCGCTCCGCTCCGCATTCCAAGCCATTGACTGGGCTTTAGTGCCCCTCAAACCCCTGGAGCACCAGGAAGGGAGCCAGCGCGGCGCCCGGGGGCCGCCCCCCGCCCCCCCCCGGCCCCATTGTGTTCCTTCGGGGGTGCCCCCCTTTTCCTGGGCAGCTGTGGGGAGTTTGGGCACTTGCACCACTTCAGGGCCAGTTGCGTTGTCCCTAATCCGAATCTTCTAGCGGAGTCTCTGGGGAAGATGCTTGGGCCCTGGGACGGGGTGTGTGCGTGTGTGTGTGTGTGTGCGTGCAGCACCTGCCAATTGCTGCTCCCTGCCTGGCCTGCAGCTTCAACGGAGGGGCAAGTTTTGCAGGGTCTTCCTTTGGGTCCCGGGCTGTGCCTTTCCCCTTCATCCCAACGGGGCCCCAAAGCTGCACTCTGTGCCTGGAGGGCCCGTGGCTCTCTTCACCCTCGATTGCTGCGCAAGTCTCCAAAAGACCCCAACCCGTTTCTCTCCCTCCTTCGGCTTCTTTTCTTCTGGCAGGGCCTTTTGCCTGGCAGCAGCCCCCAAACTGCTATTCTGGAACTGGAGGTCAGATGGGTGGGTGGGGGGCCGATCTCCCCCTTTCTGCCCCCCCCCCCCCCGAACTCTTATGTCCCTGTCAGCAATGGATGGATGTGTGTTCTTTTTGCTCTGTCCCTGACTAGCTTTGCAGCAACACTCCGGTTTTGTGTCGCTAGTGTACCCAAACTCAAATTTGGAAAAATGTCCTGGAAAATAGAAGCAATTTAGCCGTGCGGTTATTCAAACATGCCATTAAAAAAGAAAAACGTCAAATTGCAGCGTTAGATTCCCAGGAATAGGAACGGGGTGAAAACAGAGGCTGTGAGGCAGCTGTGGGCCAATCCAGGCGCTGGACTTGGGAGGAATCCTTTTTTTCTGCCTCCGCTGGAAGAGAAACGAGTCTCTTCAGAGGATGCTGCCCTTACCTGGGAGACTTGGGGTGCCCTTCCAGGTGCTGCGGGAGCCAGCCTGATCCCCAGAGGGCCAAAAGCTCCGGTGAGCGGGAGTGGCTGCCCTCTCTGGCGTCTTGGCTGCCCCCTTTCCTGGACTCGGAGATGGAGACCCGTAACTGTTTTAGAAATTTTATTAAACACATTTTTATAGCCACCCAACTCCCACAACGGCGACTCCAGGTGGCTTACAACATTTAAAAAACTTCAGCAGCGGAAACCAGCCAAGTGAATGTGTGAACGTGTAAAAGCAACGGGCTCCAGAACGTGACGGAATCCTCATCCTCCTCTTAGCCCCTGTGGATATGTTTGTTTTTCCTCTCTGCTGTAATTTATATTTGCTCTGCTTTATCTGGTTATTGACCAAAATAAACAGCATCTCTCGGTAGTTGACTGCCCAGCATTCTCCTGAAGGGCTCTCTTTCCTTGTCTGAGACTCTCCCGTGTGGCCCTCCGCTCCTGCCGCCTCCCTTGCAAGTGGTTTCTGCTATCTTTCACCTATATTTGGTCTGTGTCTTACGTCCAGTGTTTTTCCTTACAGAGCTCTGGTTCTTGTTCTCAAATCCGACTGTAAATAGGCTTGAGATACTTTACAGGGAATGGTATGGAAATGTTTTAATGCATAATACAAGATAATTCAGCATAATACAGTCACCGATGTCCAGGCTGCATTTTCGGAACCCAAGCGGAAGAGGCTTCCTCTATTCCTTGACTGTATTTATAGGGACACGATGTGGCTCTAGGTTTGCTGTCACCAAGAAGAAATAAACAGCACCGGCTGAAACAAGAAACAGCCATTAACTAGGGACACAAATGTGCTTCTCTGGACAGGAGCGTCCATCAGGTGATGCCCAGTGCTAGAGCCAGCTTCCCTGCCTCCTCGGGGCCCCCAAGTCAGGCAGAATCATGTGTTTGCATCCAGCCCTCAGGCTGCAGCGTAATTGCTGGGGAGTGGGGGGGTGCATCAGGGCTACAGAGAGGCCTGCACGTGTAGCTGCAGGTCTTTGGCACACCTCCCTTCACCTCACACAGGCACACATTCTTCCTCCTGAAGGTGACTTTGAGAAGAGCGGCCAGGAAGAGTCCTGGAAAGTTTCTTGTCCTGCCCAAGGTCAGCCCCAGAGGGTCGCCTGGACGATGGCCTGGCCTTTATGGAGAGGCGCTGGCCCCCATTCCGGCTTTCCCACGGGGGCCTGACCCAGCGAGACCTATGGGGGTCCAGCGCCAGCCTTCCCACGCGATGGCATTCCCTGGCTGACCCCGGGCAGGTGCCTTGCCAGGGATGAGGGCTGCCCTGGGTTCCTTAGACCAAAACAACCACCATACAAACCACGTTCAAATGCAGTTGGGGGGGGGGTCCCCTGAGGGGAGGGGGGAGGCCTCGCGTGCTTCCACTGGGAGGGTTTTGTGGGCAGGCCGGCTTTTTCCCCAAGGTGTCCATGTTGTCCATTGTGTCCTATTTTCTGTGGAAAAAAACCCCGAGGAAAGCGCACAGGGGGGAGAAGACACGTGGAATCCAGGCTGGAGGCCGGAGCCGGCACACCAGGGAGGCATTCAGAGGAGATCACGGTGCTTAGACGTGACTTGGAGGTCTGCCAGGAGAGAAAGCCCACGAGCTGAACAAACGAGAAATGCTCCTTCTGCCTGAGCCAGAGAAAGTTGCACAACAGGGCTGCAAACCCACCTGTGGAGGAATCACGAGGCTGAATCGGGAGATGAGTCAAGCCGCCCGTCTCTCTTGGCGCTTTCCTCCCAGAAGAAGCCGCAAGAAGAGGCCTGCCCTCCAAGCACCCTGGGAGCAGCCAGGAGGCCTTTGCGAGCCTCTCGGGCTTCGGGAGGGGGCTTCTCAACTTCACGGGGGCTGCGGCACTCTGGGAGTTGAAGTCCACACACCCTCAAGCTGCTGAAGCCAAGACACGCCGCTTTGGAAGGAAGGCCTGGCATGAAGTGTTGATTCTGACCTTCAGCCTCCTTGCGTGGAGCACCGGCTCAGCTGCTCGGAATGCCCTTCACTGGTCTCTCCGACAGCAGCGGATCCCCCCGAGACCCACAGGGTCCCTTCCTGCTCTTGGCCCTTCGCCTGATTCTTTTGTGGCTTTGGTCAAGCTCCACCTGCCCATCTTGATGCCGTGACAGTTTAGGAGGAAGCCACCGGGCACTTCCCGGCCTTGGCAGCCCAGGCCTTGGCCAGCACCGTGATCTGGCCGGAGCCCTTCAGGCCCCACCAAGCGCAAGAGGGCCGGCTATGGGAAAGCCCGGATCCCGCTTAGCTTGAGCCCAATTGGGACAGAGGCCAAGCACGTACCTGACCCCCTCCGGGAGGGCCATCAGCAATTAGCTGCCTCTGGTACCCCCCTGGGGCTGGCTTACAGGAGGGGCTTTCTGGGAGAAAGGTTGGCGGGTAGAAATTCTGCCAGAGCCCCGAGGAGCCAGGCTGCTTATCAGTTCCCGCGTTTCAAGAAACCGTCTTCTCCCTGCCTCCCCTACTTCTACAGCATGCCTCCCCCAAAGCCCTGAGCCACAGAACCCTGCAGGAAAAGCCTCTGCGAGCGAACCCCTCAGTTTCTGGGGAGTCCTTCTTCCGCTGGCCTTGCCTTCCTGGCTGGGTGGGGGCCCCCTTCAATGACCATCCTCTTTGGAGGGTCAGTTTCGCCTCCCCAGTCTTGCTCACAACCCATAAACCCTGAAGCAGTCCGGGGGGGGGGAATATGGGATAGGAGGGAGAAATATGGGGTAAGAGGGGCCCCTGCCCCACATCCCCCAGCCTTGTTCGATATTTTGCAGGGAGAAAACCGTATTTCAATGTCAATCTATTCCTAGGATCGTCTTGGCGACATTACAGGAAATGCCATAAAAAGAGGGCAACATTTTTAGCACTGAAACCAGCACACATCATTCTTCTTTAACAAATAAAAGCAGGTTGTGTGTGTGTTTGTGTGTCGGGGGGGGGGGGGGGGGTTTTACCGGCAGACAGGAGCCCCAGATCTCAACTCTGAAAGGATCAGGAGCATTTCAGTCAGGTGGATTCCTTTGGATCTGGTCAGAGAACCCTGCCCTGAGCACCGGTAGGTGAGACCCTCCTGGGAGAAATTCTATTTTTCGGCAGTTTCTTTGTCTGGGGTGATTTGCCCACCGCACCTATAAGCATCTGTTTCAAAATAGAGCCTGACGGAAGGTCTGCGGACTCCACCCAATTCCCATTTTATCTCTGGCACCGACTTCAGCGGGGATGGCTGAGAGCCAACCAACATCTGGACATGGCAGAGAGGTGAGGGCTCTTCTCGGCCAGCCTGATGCTCCCCTGGGCCTTCTTGGCATTATTTGGCTGAGCCTGGATAAGAGGGAGGATAGTTAAGACCCTTGGATATCAATTCTTTTATACCAACGCAGTATTATTACTATTACTATTATTACTATTATTACTATTACTATTATTATTATTATTATTATTATTATTATTATTATTATTATTATTATTATTAT